TGCATTTGTGTTGATCAGTTATCTTTAAAAAATGAACAATTGCACTTTTCAGGCTACAAGATTGTCATACAAAAGCGATATCTCTTTCGATCACTATGGCCCGTTGGATGGGTTTAAATGTTGACTTACTCTGTGCATTATTTCTTTTTCTGGTGACAATTGGAGCAGTAGGGTTTCGCATTGATACAGGTAATGATGCTTCGTTTTTGGTGCGTGATGTCATGTTTTTCTTGTCATTATTGCCTTTTTTAACGGACTTTAAAAATTTTCAGCATCAACTGGATTAATCTTGATAGTTTCATTTACGGCAATGGGACATGCGTCGTTTGGCATAGCGATGTTTACTGAAATTGAAACGTCGATGACAGCAGTTGAACGAGTAATGAAATACACTCAACTACCCTCTGAACCAGGTTATCAAATGAATGGAGAGCCACCAAACGACTGGCCAAATCAAGGAGCTCTTGTTGTGAAAGATCTGTCTCTGAAATATTTGAAAGGAGGAGCTAGTGTCTTAGATGACATCAGCTTTGAAGTGAAATCTCACGAAAGGGTAGGAGTTGCTGGTCGAACTGGAGCTGGAAAATCTTCTTTGGTAGCTGCATTGTTTCGCATGCCCGACCCTCAAGGATATGTAATCATTGATGGTGTAGATCTTGGTACTTTGAACATCCAAGCTGCTCGACGATCCATCGCCGTCATTTCTCAGAACCCGATTCTTTTCAGTGGAAGTCTCAAACACAGTCTCGATCCATTTCATCATTTCACCGACGATCAGATTTGGGCAGCACTAGATGTGGTGCAAATGAAAGAACGTGTCAGTAAATTGCAAGGTCTTCTAGAATACTCCATCGGTGATGGTGGATCAGGGTTTAGTGTTGGCGAGACGCAGTTGTTGTGTCTTGCTCGAGCAATCCTTCAAAGATGCAAAGTTCTTGTGTTGGATGAAGCTACAGCCAACGTGGATTACAAAACCGATCAGCTTGTCCAACGAGTCATCAGGGAGAAGTTCAGTCATTGTACAGTGTTGACCATTGCACATCGACTAAACACTATCATGGATTACGATAGGGTAYTGGTCCTTGACCGTGGTCACGTGGTAGAGTACGATAAACCAGAAATACTTGCGACCAAGACCGATGGGGTTTTCGCACAGCTGTTTAAAAGTCAGAATGGCTAAGGAGAAGTAAGCTGCTGCTTTGATTTCTGATCAATCAAAAAAACAAACTGATTTCAATAGAATCGAAATAGAATATTGTAGGGTGATGCATGAAGATATAAAWCAAATGAGACACTTTGACTTTGACTTCGACTATTTTGCATATTTTTCTGCATCTAATTTTAATATTAAAAGCGCGCAATATAAGTATTATATATTATTGTTATTATTATTATTCACTTCACATTAAAACACTTGAGTTATGACTTTATACCTTTCTTCAACACAGAACAAAACCATTAGATATGCGTCCAAGGCATCAAGCAACTCTCTTCTTTCAGTGATAGTTTATAGAGCAAGTCATTAGCGAAAAAAAAGGAAAAACCTATCAAGACAAATATTTCAAGGTGATTCAGTATCACTTTATTTCAGTTAGCTCGATAAATTATAAATGAGGCCCAAAATGTAATGTGCCTCAATAAGGTGACTAATAACTTAAAATCTGTGTTGCTGACGTTTCACTTTCGTGCTATAAGTGCAGATATGATATATGAGATGTACAATAAGAGAAGATATACCACATTTATATCGACCAATCAGCTCACTCTCTCGCTTTAAATGAACTAATAAACCAAAAAACGTTTTTAAAAAAAAGCTCTTATCTTGATTTACAAAGTGATTGCAATTAGCAAAGCTTGGGAACAAAATACACGTTTTTAAATGGAAATCAAAGTGTTGATTATAAATAGATCAATAATCAGCATAATTACCGGTCCAAATGCTCGAGAGGTCTAACTAAACTCGAAACGCCTTATTCAAAACTAGCTAATAAGGCCACCGATATGCAGAAAAATCCCAGAGAAAGCGCCAATATACTTTCTCGTTTATTTTTTCTTTGGATAAACAGTTTATTAAGAATTGGCAGTCAACGACAACTAACACAAGATGACCTGTTCGAATTGCCCAGCAAAGATCAAGCAGAATACATTATACAAGACTTTGAAGAAGTTTGGCAAGATGAGATCATCTCTGCTGAACGCCGTGGCAAACAACCACGACTATGGAAAGCTATGTATCGATTCTTTCACTGGAGTGACTACCTATCGCTATCATTATGCAGGTTACTAGAGATACTAAGTGTGTATTCGAATTCTCTGATGCTTTGGTTGTTTCTGAAAACTTTACAAGAACAGGAGAAATCCATCAAAAGCACCCCATATCTGTTAATTGTTGGAGCTGTTGGAATAGGAACAGCAGCATTCACTTATTCTTTTTCTCGACATCATGGCGAATCTAAAGCAAAGATAATGGGAATGCGACTCACCATTGCTTTCTCTGGGCTAATACACCAAAGGGTACGTGTAGTGCATGATTCAATGTTATGCAGTTGGCGTTTCGATTAATTGTTTTCATGGTAATTTTTCAGATAGAGTTTGTTGTAAACCACATACAGAATGCAGTCTCTTGTGAATGATACTTACTTTGTCTTCATAGGTTTTGAAGTCAAGTCGGGTCAGCGTCTCTAAAAAGACAACTGGACACATTTTAAGCTTGGTGTCAAACGATGTTCAACGTGTTCGTAACATAATAAGCGATATTTCTAGATGTGGTTTGACACTTGCCATTGACTTTTCATTGGCTGTTGTCCTTTT